CTTTCAGTATACTTCTGAGTATACTTTCATAAACTTTTTGTGGGCCAATTTAATCCGAGGTTTATATTTGTTAGTAAACTGCTAGTACACTTATATCAGTTTACTTGGTAAATAAAAGTACACTTAGGGAAATACACTTTTATATATTTCAGTATACTTAATGACATGTACTTAAATTATACTTCTTTTTTGTGAGTTTTTAAACTTGTTAACTTTTCATCAACTTTAAAAACGTCCCAATTTAGTACAAAAGTTTTAAATCAATATACTTTCTAGTGCACTACAAGTACATGGTGCCTGGTATACTTGATATACTAAAACTTGTACTTTATACTTATTAAAATGAACTTCAAGTACTTTTTGCTAAAGTTTTTTCAGTTTTCTTTCAAAAATATTTGTTTTGTTGTTAGCTTAGCCTCATTAATRGTTACAAATCAGAATCTCTTATTAAAAATTATCAATTTCTGACTCATTAAACTTGAAAAGCTAAATTAATTATAAACATTAAGAAGATATAAATGTAAGAAGAAAGCATCCAAATGTAAAATAAGCTAGCAGAGCTGGTATCAGGAGCCTGATTTTTATATTTATTGCCTGGGCTAACTTATGCACAATTTATGAAATAAATAGTTATTTTTATTAGTCACAGCCGGATTTAGCGGTGTTTTACAGAAATGAGCGCGTCGTGACTTTATGTGAAGTTTACGACAGGAAATGAGATCAGACAGGCGGCCAGAGGACCACCAGGTCCTACCGGGTGAGGGTGGTCTTCAGTCGGTCAAACAGGCAGGAAACAGGCGGTGAACCCGGTGGAGACCGAGCCTGGAGAGCTGAAGCCAGAGACGTGTCAGCAGACGGTCACTGGTCCACTTTAACGWCGTGAGTACAAAGTTAGCGCCGGAAACCATTTCAACAGAGTTAGCTTCAGCTGCGTTAGCTTGTAGCCGTCTKTGTGCTCGTGCCGCCATTTCCACCGCGACTCCGTGAACTAAGTTTGAGAGGTTTAGGCTTTTAAAGTTTTATTTAGAAACAACTGGCCAAGATGGCGAAATTTGATTAAGAAATTAATCAGATACATATTTACATTTGTAAGTAGCTCAAAACAGCAGCCTCTTAGCGATGACGTTTGTGAGAGTTTTATTGGTTCGCGACTGTTGGAGACTAGTTTGCGAACAGGAAATATGAAGGACGTGATTTGAAACGTACACTCCTGATCAAAATCTTAAGACCAGTCAAAAAAAAAGAGCAAGAATTTGCATTTTGCACTGTTGGATCTTAAGAAGGTTCTAAGTAGAGCTTCACAATGTTAAAAGAAGAAATCAGTGCAAGAGACAAGAACTTTTGAGCAGGAATTTTCTGAAAACTGCATTTACACTCAAACATGATTTTTTTTTCAGCTGATCAAAGGTTTTAAGACCATAGCTCAAAAAATCCTGAAAAACCCCCAAAACAGAAATCAAAGTGTGAAAAAAAGGACTCAGTAATGAGT